CCGGCCAGCTGTCCTTGTTCACACAATCAGGGGGCTACACCCTCCTCAGACTAGAACTCCTGGATAGTTCCTCATTGGCTGAGAATAAATCCAAATTCTCACCATGCTTGGCTCACCTAGCCAGCCCCTGCTCACCTCTCTGATGTAACCCATGTCCCCACTTCCTGCCCATTCAGACCCAACCACACCAGCCTCCAATTTACTTCTTGATGTCCCAAGGGCTATCCAGCCTCAGAGCCATCCCCAGTGCCATTCCCTCTGCACCAGTCCTCTTTGCCTTGCTTTCCCCTACCTCTTTCTTTCCCCTCACAGATCTGGGCTTTAATGTCACCTTCCAAGAAAAGCCTTCCTTGACTCCTCCCTCAATTTCTTTCTTATTGCATTCAGTATGGTTTGAAGTTGCATGTCTGTTCCTGTGACATTTTGCCCAGTGGCTGCCTCCACCTTAGGTAGGGCCCCAAGAGGGTGGGTGAGCATCAGTGCCTGACCTGTAATGAGAGCAAACTAAATATTTGTGCTCATTGCCCTGCCCTCAACAGACACTTCCTACCTTCCTCTGCCTGCGCAGTTCCCTCTGTCCAAACACACTATTCCCTCTCCTTTCCTCTGGCTAATTCCCACAGGGTCTGAGTTTCATGTCCCTGTCTCTCAGATACTATTTCAGCTAATACTTTGTAATTTCTTGTTTCAGTTTTTACTGTTACCCATAGGAAAAAAAAATATATACATATATACACACATACTAAATAAATATTGTGACCAGGTCATATGTATTTACACAAGCAACATTTCTTAAGACTTTACACTCTTAAAAATTATGTCTACCTATATTTACCACATTAGAAATTAACTGATACATTTAAAAATATTTGTTTATTAATGTATTTAAAAATAATAACAAACCCATTGCAGTTAACATAGAAACCTATTTTATGAAATATAATGACTCCCAAACAAAACAAAAAGTTTAGGGCACTAGTTTTATCATTTTGCAAATCTCTTTACTATCTGGGTCAACAGAACACAGCTGGACCCTTGTAGCTGCTTCTGTGTTTAGTCATGATATTGCACGCTGTGTAGCTTCTGGAAAATTCCAGTGGACGCTCATGAGAAAAGGAGAGTGAAAAAAACAGGTAACATCTCAGAGTTAGTAGGAAAAGAATTTTGACTTCTGTGATCCCGACAGGGTCTCGGGGACCCCTAGGGGACACTTTGAGAACCTACTGACATACAGGCCCACAGTTTGGAAATCAAAAAAGTGCCGAAAACAAAAAGTTTTATCATAGGTTTGGAGGCAGAACTTGACCTAAACAGACTCACAGTCTTGAATTATTTATCCCTCTTACTGGGACTGTCCATACATTTCACCTTAGAAATATGCCAGCCAGGCTGCCCCAGAACACACTGGGGCTGTTCAGAATATACAGTATATATTCTTACAGCCTTGTTAAAATCTAAAAATTCCCAAATCCAGAATATATCTGCCCTCAGGGTTTCAGATAAGGGACCTGTCAGAAATAAAAATTCCCTACATGGTATTTTCCCTTCATTCTAGATTATTCTATGTTGTTTTTCAAAAAACTCTGGTCACAACCTGAAAGCTTGATGTCAGACCTCGGTAATGGCTCACTGTTCGAAAAACTGTAGAGACTTTCTGTAAGTTCCTGCGACACACCTCCTCCCCAACAAGGGTAGAGAATGGGTTTGACTTGTTCCGCGCTGCACCCCCAAAATTCCAGCAAAGGGCTTGGCTAAGCACATAGCGGGATTAATAAATGTTTGTTGAGTGAATAAACAGAAAGCCAGGAACAGAGTTAGGCCTGCAACCCCCCCTGTGCCCGTCTCTAGGACTCGAGAATCCTGTCCACACCATTTCCAAAGACCCAGGCAGCGGAGACCACGAGCCTGCTACCATCACCCACCCGCGGCTTCCTCCCTCTGGATGAACCAGAACTCCATTTCCCACAAGTCTCAGGGCTGGGACTACATTTCCCATAAGCCTCTGCTTCCGCCAGGTTCTGTGTCCTTCAGCCACCCGGGCAGATAATTGCACCTTTCCTCACCACCCCCAGCCCCCAGTTCCATTCTCTCTACCTATATATGGTCAATCTACCCTGCAGCCATGGTCCCGGCACACCTTTCCTCCCACCCCTCCTGGCGTGATGAACCTGCCTCAGTTTCTCGAACGAGCCCCCCTCAGAGACAGCTTCCTCCTCCTCCCCCCTCCCCCTCCCCCTCCAATGGGGTCGCGTGTCCCAGTGTGCTGGCTGCGCGATTTGGACCCAGGGGATCCTGGGCCCATGCTGCGGGCCAGGGGCGGGGGCGGTGTGGGCTGTGCTTGTAAGGGTTGTCTGGGTCGTCTCCGCGGTGTGTTGTGAGGCTGCGCCTGGGATGCGCAGCTCCGGCCCAGCCTCACCCGGGAGGGACGCATCGCAGGGGCTCACGGACCACGGAGACGTCCGCGCAGGGTGGGAGTCCGTGCTTCCGGTGTGTCTGCAGCTCCGGGTGCCGTGCGGGGGTGGGAGGGGGAGGGCGACCCCGAGACGGCGGCGGCCTGGCACGTGATGTGTGCGTCCTTGTCTGTTTTGTCTGTGTCCCTGACAGACCGAGCTCAGTACCCCCTTGGCCACTTCCCGGCTTTGTGCCTTGGGGCAGATGTCTGCACCTCGCTGTGCCTCAATTTCCTCATCTGTACGATGGGAATGATGAAAAGAGGCTGTCTCAGAAGGCAGTTGTAAGGATTTAAAAGTAGTATGTGTAAAGCGCTGAGGACAATGCCTTGCGCGGAGTAAATGCTCAAAAGAATAAATAAATTAAATAAACCATGACCATGTTATCTTTTGAAAGAATCAAGTGCCTTTGGTTGTGTAATGGCTGTGTAACCTCACTGGAATTGTGGGTATTTGTGATGCATGTGTCTGTGTGTATCTTTGTATGTGTCCTGTATGCCTGTGTGTATTTGTGCATGTGATATATGACTGCGGTGGGGTAATGTGTCCTTGTAACTTCGTGTGAAATGCGTGTACATCTGTTGTGTATGTGTCCACGAATGTTTAGGTATGTGATGTGTCTTTGTGTATCTGTGTGTTCAATGTGTGTGCCTATGTTGCGTGTGTTTCTATATGTATGTGTGACTGCATAGATGTGTGTGACATGCATGTATCAGTAATTTTATGTGCATTTTTGTATGTGATTTGTGTAACTTTCTATATTCTTTGAATATATTGTGTGTCTATATTGATGTATGACCTGTTTTTGTACATGTGTACCTGTGTATGTGACGTGTCTCTGTGTGTTCATGTTGGTGAAATGTGTGTTTGGGTGAGAGATGTGTGTATTTTTTATGTATTTGTAAATATATAGATGTGTATTGTATGTGTGTGTATTTGTGTATGTGATGTGCATGTCCCTCCATATATCTTCTGTGTGTCTCTGTATATTTGTGCCTATGATACTTGTGTCTAAGTTAGTATATGTTATGTGTCTCATGCAAATGATGTCTGTGTACTGGTGTGATGTGCGTGTCTGTGTTTATCTGTGTATGTGTTGTGTGTGTCTGTGGGTCGTCTTTGTTGCTCATTTGTCTGTGGAATGTCTCTGCTGGTGACTGTGTGCCTTGGGATGTCACCGTGGTGTCTGCATGGGTCTTTGTCTGTGGCGTGCGTGTCTGTGGATTTGGGGCTTTACTTTGTCTGTGGCATGTGTGGGTCTTTGTGATGCATTGACGTTCCTGCGTGGTCGGGTGCATCTGTACCGGGGGCTGGCCTGCCTCTGCGTTCTTAGTGCAGCCCATCATCCCTGCGTCTTTGTGTGTGACGTGTACGTGTCCCCGTCTGCCGATAGCTGTCCACCTTTGTATGTGATGTGCTTGTCTGTGAGGGTCTCTGCGACGTGTGTCAGCCATGTGTGGGCTGCATATGCCTGCCTGACATCTGTATCTTGGCGTGAAGCACACGTGTCCATGCTGGTGGCATGTCACAGCAATGTCCGGGCCAAGCACTGTGGGCCCTGTGCCCCCCCCAACACAAGGGTCTGCTGGTCCCTGTCTGTCCCTCCCCCTCCCCTCCCTCCTGGCAGCCAATGCTACTGGGGAGCCAGTTGCCATGACGACGCTCCATC